CCACAAACCAAAAATCTGTAATAGATACACACACAGAAAAGAGAAAGGCATCCAAACATAACACCAAAGATAGGCATCAAATTGTAGGAAAAGAGAAAAAAAGAAGAGGAAATGAATAAAAAAGAACTACAAAAACAACATCAAACCAATTAACAGCATGGCAGTAAGTATATACTTATCAATAACTAACTTAAATGTAAATGGACTAAATGCTCCAATCAAAAGACATAGAGTGGCTGAATGGATACAAAAATAATACCCATACATAAGCCCATACAAGAGACTCACTTCAGATCTAAACATATGACAAACCCACAGCTAATATCACACACAAGTGAAAAGCTGAAAGCATTTCCTCTAAGATCAGGAATAAGAGAAGCATTCCCCCTCACCAATTTTGTTCAATATAGCATTAGAATCCTAGTCACAGTAATCAGACTAGAAAAAGAAATAAAAGGAATCCAAATTGGAAAGAAAGAAATAAAACTGTCACCTTTTGCAAATGGCATGATACTATATATAGCAAACCCTAAAGACACTGCCAAAAAAACTATTAGAACTTATCAATGAATTCGGTGAAGTTGCAGGATACAAAATTAATATACAGGAATGTGACGTATTTCTATACACTAGCAACAAACTATCTGAAAGAGAAATTAAGAAAACAATCCCATTTACCATTCCATCAAAAAGAATAAAGTACCTAGGAAGAAATCTAACTAAGGAGGTAAAAGACCTGTACTCGGAAAACTGTAAGACACTGATGAAAGAAATTGAAGATGGCACAGACAAATGGAAATACTGTGTTCATGGACTGGAAGAGAAATCATATTGTTAAAATAATCATACTACCCAAGGAAATCTACAGATGCAGTGTAACTCCTATCAAAATATCAACAGCATTTTTCACAGAACTAGAATAATTCTAAAATTTGTATAGAAGCACAATAGACTCCAAATAGCCAAAGAAATCCTGAGAAAGAACAGAGCTGAAGGTATCATACTCTCTGATTTCAAACTATAGTACAAAGTTCCAGTCATCAAAACAGTACAGTGCTGTCACAAAAACAGACATATAGATCAGTGGAACAGGATAGAAAGCCCAGAAATAAACCTATGCACTTAAAGGTCAATTAATCTACAACACAGGAGGCAAGGATATACAATAGAGAAAAGGCAGCCTTTTCAATAAATCACGCTGTGAAAACTGGACAGCTACATGCAAAAGAATCAAACTAGACTTCTCTCTCACACCATGTAGAAAAAAAATTCAAAATGGATTAAAGACTTAAATATAAGACCTTACACCATGAAATTTCTAGAAGTAAACAGGTAGTAAGCTGTTTGACATCAGTCTTAGTAATATTTTTTTCTATCTGTCTCCTCAAGCAAGGGAGACAAAAACAAAAATTAAGAAATTGGACTACATCAAACTAAAAAGCATTTGTACAGTAAAGGAAACCATCAACAAAATGAAAAGGTGACCTACTGAATGGCTATTATAAAAAAGACAACAAATAAGTTTTGGCAAGGATGTGAAGAAAAGGAAACCCTCGTGCACTGTTAGTGGGAATGTAAATTGGTACAATCACTATGGAAAACAGTATGGCTATTTCTCAAAATTTCAAAATAGAACTACCATACAATCCCTCAATTTCTCTCCTGTGTATTTATCTGAAGAAACAAAAACACAAATTAGAAAAGACACATGTGCCCATATGTTCCTTTGAACACTATTTACAATAGTTAACCTAAGTTCCCATCAGTAGGTGAATGGACATAGAAGATGTGGTGTGTATAAATGCAATGGACTACTACTCAGCCATAAAAAATGAAATCTTGCCGTTTGCTATAACATTTATGGAACTAGAGGGTATTATGCTAAGTGAAATTAGTCAGAGAAAGCTAAATACTATATGATTTCGCTTACATGTGTTCTCTAAAAAACAAAACAAATAAACTAACATAGCAAAATAGAAACAGTTATACATACAGAGAATATACAAGTGGTTTCCAGAGGGGAGGAGGAGCAGTAAGAAATAGGTGCGGGAGATTAAAAGGTGCTAACTTCTAGTTGCAAAACAGAAATGAAATGTAGCGTGTGGGGAACATAGTAACTATGTAACATCTTTGTATGATGACATGACATAACATAACATGACATGTGGTGATCATTTTGAAATGTATAGAAATATCAAATCACTATGTTGTGTAACAGGAAGTAATGAACAAAAAACCTCATAGAAAAAGAGATCAGATGTGGGTAACCAGAGACAGGAGTAGGGGGAAGTGGGTACTGGATGAAAGTAGTCAGCAGGCACAAACTCCTGTTATAAGGAATAGGAATGTAATATATAACATTATAAATATAATTAACATTGCTGTATATTATACATGAAATTTATTAAGACAGTATATGCTAAGAGTTCTCATCACATGGAAAAATTTTTTTCTATTTAATTTTTTCTCTATTTGAGATAATGGATGTTCACTAAACTTATTGTGATAACCATTTCATTATTATGTAAATCAAATAATTAGGCTGAACACTCTAAACTTATACAGCACTGTGTGCCAATTACACCTCAGTAAAACTGGAAGAAAAAAGAATAGATTAATTTTATTTTTATATGCATTACAAACTAAATCCACCTAAGAGAAAGTTTTGAACTTCTCAGTGTTGTTATATGCAAATCCTTGCATAAAGAGAAGTCTGGCTATATATGTGTATGATGCCTCTGCCCAGGTGAAATACAACTGAAATGATGGTGTGGAGAACACCAGCATCCACTTCAGTAAATTCCCAGACGTACATCAACAACTCTTTAAACTTCTATTTCCTCCATCTTTCCATTGACCAAATTAAGAATCAAACCTGAAAGCTTGAATCTCTTCTCTTTTAATGGCTTTTCAATGTTTATTCACAGGTTTGTACTACATATATAATATGATAATTCATTAAATTATAAGTTGCTTAAGGCAGGAATTTTGTCATCTTTATTGTTAATGTAATTCACTACCCACAAAGTTCTAAGTAAATGTAGAACTGTCTATTGATTCTTCTTAATAATAAATTTTTTAAACAGACTGTGCTGTGCTTAATCCTCACCTTTCTCAAAGATTTCACAGAAATTGTATATTAATTAAAATTTTATATAATTTTGTCCATATACCACTAATAAAAATAACTGCAGAGAAAATTTCCATAGGATGAGTTACTCTCCATATATGGTATAAATCTGTAAGGCAAGGAGGAAACTGACATGTATTGAGCACCTATTATTAGCCAGATATTTTATTCACTTGACTATTTAATCCTCACTACAAACCAGAGAGGTTGCTATTGTCATCAGCATTTTACAAAAGTTGAATTAAAAGAAAAAGTTGAATTAAATGTCAGAGAAGCTAGAAACCTATCAAATTCAGATAGTTTGTAAATTAGCAGAATTCAGTTATTTAAGATTTCAAATTCAGGTAATTTTTGCTCAAAAATTCATCTTTGAACATAAATCCTTCAATAAAATATTTACTATTAAATATTAACAGGTATTTTGGTATAAACCATAAATTTTGATGATCTTACCACTAAAACTGAAAGGTGAAGAAAATTTTTAATTAAAAAACTGTATAATATTTTGTATCTAGAAACTATTTATAGTTAACTGTATATAATTCCTAATTATTTACCTTTTTGCTACCCACATGGCAGTTCTTAACTAAGAACATATGTTCCCAAAGTTTATTTGAATCACTTATCTAGAGTTTTCCTTATCATTCATTTAGTTGAGATTCTGTACTCTAAATTCTAATGCTGTTACTTTGTTCCCAAATTATTTTATAAAAGCTTACTGAAACTATGATATAACTAGTCTAAGTTCTGTATTCAAAGAACAGAGAAATTATTTGACAGAAACAAATTAAGCAAAACCAAACCAAACAAAACAAAACCACCCACAATTCTCTCTACCATTTTTCTGAAGTTAGAGTGAGCACTTGACACTCTTTTGTGAAAAGAAGTTTCTCTTTTACACTATTTCACTTTCCTTTCAGGGTCTGTCTCTTGTCTACACTTCCCCCCCACCCTGCCCAAATTCCATACTCTCACTGCTCTTGTGGATCCCTACCACCACTATCTTAATACCTTCTAGGTCTTCCCTACTCTTCAGAAAGGAGAGAGTGTAGCACATGATAAATAACTTACATATTTCTTGATTAACTGCATCCTCACAATAACTGTGTGATGCAGCTACCATGATCTTCATTTTTCAGATGAGAAAAATAGGGTTAGAAAAAAATCAAACAAGTGAAAGACTCCAAAGCTCACATTACCATCAATGTATTCCTTACTCCAAAATGGTATCCCCTCTTCTCCAAATTCTTACAGCTTAATAAAATTGGTCTTGACAGGGAATTAAGAGAAAGCAATATGAATAAAATAATTTAATTTCTCTTAACGAATGATAACTCCATGCTTCTTCCAAATGTTTTTGCCTTTCTGTAAAATGATGCAACTGGATAGGGGAGTAAACCATCACCATAAGTTTTCCCTAAGCTCCTACATTCATATTTATCACCATTTTCTATGCCTCTTTCCTCCCTCCATTTATGAACTCACTTGTTTGTATAGACTATGTTGAAAATTGGAGTTTCAGACATGACTTACCCACTTTTAAAAAGTAGGTATAAATTAAGTCATCAAAATAATGTTACAAGGATCACAGAAATAAAGAATGAAGTTCGTACAAATACATTTTAACGTTCTCTTGCTACCTGTTTTAAATTAATTCCACTATATTAACTGTCTTCTATATGAAGTCAGTAGGGAGCAGAGAAAATAACGAAGCTTTGAGTTAGATAAACTTG